CGTCAACCTTGGCCGGATCGACCAATATCCCTTTCTGATTAACGAGGTGCCCCAGAAACTGGACCTCCCGCAACCAGAAATCGCACTTGGAAAACTTTGCATAAAGTTTCTCCGATCTCAAAACTCCAAGAACCTCCCTCAAATGCTCCTCATGTTGCTCTCTAGATATCGAATATACCAGAATATCATCGATAAACACAATCACCGATCGATCCAACATCGGCCTGCATACCCTGTTCATGAGGTCCATGAACACAGCCGGGGCATTGGTGAGCCCAAAAGGCATCACCACAAACTCATAATGCCCATAACACTTCCTGAATGCTGTCTTCTGGACGTCCTCGTCCCGCACTCTCACTTGATGATAGCCCGACCTCAAATCGATCTTGGAGAACCAAGATGCTCCCTGCAACTGATCGAATAAATCATCGATCCTCGGCAACGGGTAACGGTTCTTGACCGTCAGCTTATTCAATTCACGGTAATCAATACATATTCGATGCGAGCCGTCCTTCTTCTTCACAAACAGAATGAGTGCTCCCCATGGCGAGCTACTTGGCCGAATAAACCCGTTCCCCAGCAGCTCCTGAAGTTGCGAGGATAACTCTTGCATCTCTGGAGGTGTAAGGCGATAAGGCACCTTAGCGATAGGCGCGGCTCCCGGAATCAAATCGATACCGAACTCCACTTGCCTCACGGGAGGCACACCTGGTAATTCTTCGGGAAAAACATCTGGAAACTCACGCACCACCGGAACTTCATCCACTGAACTTGGTCTCTCGGAGATCACTCACGTATCCATCACATACGCCACAAAACCCTTACAGCCCTGTTGTAAACACTGCCTCGCCCTAGCGGCCGAGCAAAAGGCTGATCCAGAACGTGTACCCTCGCCGTATACCGAAAGAACTCCCCCACTAGGATCTCGTGTGGTCACCAGCTGACGCTCGCAGTCGATAACCGCGCCAAATCGGCTCAACCAGTCCATGCCCACAATGACACAGACATCACCCATCGCAATAGGAACCAGGTCGATCGGAAACTCAACCCCAAAAATCTCTAACACACATCCCCGGAGGACCTCCGTGGCACAAATCACTCTGTCGGCGGCTATGGAAAGCCGCAGAGGCCGACTCAATGCCTCACGACTAACACTGATATGCTGACTAAAGGCCAAAGATACAAAAGACCGACTCGCACCCGAGTCAAATAACACTAAAGCAGGAACAGAGGTCACAAGGAAGGTACCTATGCATAGCATAATATAAGCATAATATATCAACACCAAATATATATATATATATATATATATATATATATATATATATATAAAAGGAAATGTACCAGCCACAACGTCGGGTGCAGCGCGGACCTCTTCCGCAGTCAGCTGAAAGGCTCTCCCTCGAGCTCTCGGTGCCTCGGCCTTCATGGGCCGACTCTCTGTAGCTCTGATGGCGGCGGGAGCAGATCCCTGAGATGCTCCATGCAGCAGCGGACACTCCGCCTTCTGGTGTCCGGTCTGGTTGCAGTGAAAACACACTGCAAACCCCTTGGGGCAGTCCTTGGCCATATACCCCTCCTTGCCACATTTGTAGCAAGACCCTGCTCGACAAACTCCATCGTGACCCTTGCCGCACTTCCCGCAAGTGCGGCCCTTCTGGCTCCCGAGCTTGGGATCAGCGGGCTTGGCCCGCTTGGCTGCCGGCTGAAGCTGTGCCGGCCGCCGATCCCTCCCCAGAGACTCCGCCTCCTCCCTGGCCTGAGTCTCAAGCTCAATCTCCGTCTTCCGGGCATTTGCATGAAGCTCAGCAAATGTCCGATACGAGGAGTTCGCAGCGAACTCCCGAATATCTCGTCTCAAAATGCTCAGGTAGCGGCTCATACGTGCCTGCTCAGTGGACACGTGCTCAGGGCAAAACATCTCCCTCTCATGAAACATCCTCGTGATCGTTGTAACTAACTCAGTACCCTGCTTGAGGGTCAGAAACTCTTGTGCCAAACGCTCCCTCTCCACCTGGGGAACGTACTCATCTCGGAACATGGTAGTGAACCTCTCCCAGGTCACTGCCGAAAGCTCAGCAGGCGTGAAATGCACCGTCACAAACTTCCACCAGTCCTTCGCTCCCAAGCGAAGCTGGTTCAGTGCGAACCGAACCTTCAAATGCTCAGGGGACGAGCAAGTGAAGAAGCACCCCTCCATATCAGATATCCACATCATAGCTGCCACCGGATCCTGTGAACCATCAAACTCTGGTGGTTTGATGTTGCTGAACTCCCGAAACAGTGACGCATCACCTCCCTGGGGTCTCGCCGTAGCGATCGCTGCGGTAGCCGCTGCAACAGCAGCCTCAGAAAGAGCGGCATAACGCTCGTCAAATGTCTCAATCAGCGCGGTCTTAATAGACCCGAACATCTCTGGTATCTCAGCTCTGATGACCGCAGCCACCTCCTCATGAATGATCTGTCGGATCTCCTCATCACCAACTCCGGCATATGACGTGTCCTCACCATGATCAACCTCTGAAATACAACATGCGATAAATTAGAATTCACTCGAACATTCTTACACTCGACAATCCACCCCTCCTTGATTCTTGGTATCCCAAGATTCTTATTTGGACCGTGTACTGCCCCGGTGCTTTCAGTAGTACGGGCCCAATACTACTGTCCACACCGTCTCAGTACACACCCCAAACCTTCCTCTTCGAATCCCAATTCCCAAGTACTCTATCATGCGTAGACCACTCTCTAATATATCTCTCATAAACCCCCTGCTGCTACCTACTCACTCTCAGCATCTCATAGCAGCTCACCCCTCCCTAGGCTAAGGCATCACAAATCAGGCCACTCTAGTCCTATTAGCAATACCTAGCCTACTTTAGCATGCAGATACATCATATCAATATTAATATCACGTAATATAAAGGTATTTTGGGAATTCACCGTTCGGGCGCTGACTGATCGTACACACGTTTCTTCCTGGAATTTGTTTCTTTTTCAAAAAAATCTTTTACTCTTAGAAAAGTTTGGTTTTCTATTGAAAATATCTTTCCAATTCCTCAGTTTGAGTTCAAATACTCCCGAAGGTGTACCCGAATCCCTCAAACCAAGGCTCTAATACCAAATTGTAACACCGTAAATTTCAAAACCAATTTTTTCAATTTTCTTATAAACATAATTCGATTAATATTCACCAAACAACCATATTAATTATCCAATATAAGTTAATACAAAATCCCAAGATCACAATGTAAAAACTTCGAGTGTGTGTGTACGGATCAAGCCGGCGCCTTCCCGCGGTCGTCACTAGTACCTGAAACAATAACATCAAACACTGTAAGCACAAGGCTTAGTGAGTTCCCCAAAATACCACATATACACATATTAGCCACTCGAGGCTATAACTCTGTGGGTCCGTGCACCCAAACTCTGTGAACCCTCAGGTTCTAGCTCTGATAAACATGCACTACATAAATCACATAGAAATAATGCAGTACAACACATAACATACATAACATACAAATACTCTATCACATAACTCTGGTTACCTACTCAAGGTAAAGTATAGTGAGAAGACTCACCTCGCGTATCTCGGTATCTCATGAATCCTGGAAATCCCTCGTGCTCGATCCTCCAAGCTCTAATCATCCTATAACATTATATGTTTCTAATTAACACTTTATATCTCTAAGGTTGACTATCTATAAGAAGTCAACACAGGTCAACTCTGGTCAACGGTCAACGGTCAACTCTGACCGGACTCGGCGAGTACCATGGCGACTCGACGAGTCTAGACGTTTTTCACCAACCCTCTGAAATCCTCTCACTACACGTCGAGTATCCCCCCTTTACTCGACGAGTTTCACCTGAATGAATAGCGGGGCCACCCCGACTCAACTCGCCGAGTCTCAAGGACAACTCGGCGAGTCCAAGTTTGACTCAGTCCACTTGTCATCCCTCTCCAACTCACCCTGACTCACTGAGTCTACCCATGACTCGATTGGACCACTCGCTGAGCAGTCCCAAGGCAATCTTCAAGCTACTCGCCGAGTCGGATGAACAGACTCGGCGAGTCCATGCTATGCAACCACTCCAACTCGCTTCTAAGGTCAGATCTGCTTCCAAAAACTATAGATCTGGCCTCCCTCGACTGATTCATCATGTAAAGCTCCCATCTTGGTGCTCATAGCACCCCCTATAACTCAATAATGGAGTTTTTGACCTAAGGCATGAGGATTCCAATCCAAATCCTCCATTGATCCCTAAAAAGCTTGGGTAAAGGGACACTCTGGACCTCTAAGGGTCCAGATCTATGGTTCCAACCTCATAAGGGACCAAAAGGACACCAAATCATGCCATAAAAGGGTTCAACAAACCCTAAATCTAAATAAACAACAACAAACAAGAAGGTAACTCGGATTTATTACCACAAAAGTGATGCTCTGGACTCCAAACCCACAGAAGTGGCTCCTTCTTGCTTTCCCTTGGCTAGCTCTTCTCTTCCTTGCAACAATGGCACCTCCAAGGTCAATAATGGCTCCTACTTAGCTCCAAGTGCTCACACTCGATTAGGGTTTCACTCAAGGGGCTGGTGAGCACAAACGACGGCCATTAGGCCCTTTAAATAAGTCTCAAACCCGAGAAATTAGGGTTTCATTACACAGCGCTGACTCGCCGAGTCCATATCCTGGACTCGTCGAGTCCAGGCGCGATCCCTCGTCCAAATCCGTGTCCCTACTCGGCGAGTCTGAGCTCCAACTCGCCGAGTCCCCCTCACAAATCAACAAAATACAATTAACAAGATACCTGATAAAAGTCCGGATGTTACACAATCACATATAAATATTTTCCAACAGTTTCCCCTATGTGATGGTTACTGAAATAAGGAGTAAAAATAAAATTAATAACACGCAAGATAAATTTTAGCAATATAATAAGTAACCAGTAGCAAAAACATCATCCACATGTTCGAAAAAAGAAACAAACAAAAAAAACATAATCTATACTTTGTTTCTCAAGTTTATTAACCATTGCCGGAAACTCAAAAACCATGTAAGTTCTTTAATGATCTTCACTCTCAGCGATTCTTCTTGATCTCCTATTCTCTTCAATAAACCGATGATGCCTTCAATGAATTCAGAAGAGAATAGATGGTTTTGGGAGATTCTCATGAATTTTAGTCGACCTTTAGAAGAGAATACAACACCTCTATGTGGTTTCTTTAGAATGTTCCTAGGCGACTCATTCTCCATATTCAGATTCACATTTGGTTCTTCAGCTTCTTTTTCTCCTAGCTGTCCAATCTCCCAGTCAACACTGAAATCAATAACCATGTCGAGCACATATTGCCTTGGGCGTTGTAGAACATCTGCATAAGTTTTATCTATACTCACCCTTTGTTTCAACCAAATGATTAGTGATCTGATATTAGCTTGGTTTATTCTAGGGAAATCAGCTTCAGAAAACATGAACTTAGATTTGTTTGTCCTTCTTCCTTGAAAGAATGCATATGACATTTTTCTAAATTTTTATATGTCAATCTAACTGATTGAAGAAATCTTGAATTTTGGCCATACAGGGACAACTTGAATTGGTTTCTTCAGAAAGAATCTTTTCTTTAGGTATTCAATGTCTAAATCAACACCAACTGGATAAATTGCACTTGGCAATAAGTTAAACTTATACCATTCGGGGGTGCAGGAATATCCCAGTTTTCTTTAGTGAGGTCTGAAGGAGGTTTGAAGGAATTTGTGGGCTTGATGACCTTTACCTTTTGATAGGAATCTCTATCAGGGTTAAAGAAGATAGTTCTTTTAGGTGAAGACACTCTAAATTGTTTATCATGCCATGTACTCCTTTCTTCAGTCGAGATCTCTGGATATTTCTTTTTTCGAAGCATCTCTTGTTTAGACTTTAATTCCTCAGCCTTCAGTTGCTTAGCTAACTCTTCATCTATCTGCATTTGAGTTTCTTTAGCTAATTCCCGTTTAGACTTGAAGATAATCTCCTGCTTTCCCTTATCGTTGGGATCACTATCAGAAAGCTTTGACTGAGTGGTTGGTTCTGATATGATGACATGTTTAGAGAAGTGGACATCTTTCCTTCTTGGAACTTGGAATCTTCTAAGAACTTGGGCAATGTTCCATACCAAGCTCTTGGGGCTTGCTTTAATTCATAGACAGCCTTTTGAAGCTTACAGAATTGGTTAGGGAACTTTGGATCTTCAAATCCAGGGGTTGTTGAACATAGACATCTCTATCGATTTCTCCGTTCAAGAATGCACACTGTATGTCATTGCCAATATGACAACCAAAGTTGTAATCCCCGCAAATTCGCTCTAGACAATTAAAATATAATAAGCTATAAAAACCACATTTTTATAGAAGATTATTTAGGATAAATAATCTTAACTAAAGTTATGGTATATGTGATAAGGATGTCGTACATATAAAAAACTTTGAAATCTAACTTCGTATGAAAAAGTTATGCTTCTTCAAAGTTTCGTGATTAAACCGACACGACTCTTCATATGGTAAAAAGTGAATTTTTGATAGATTACTTATTAGCCTAAGTAATCTAAACGAAATTCATAGTGTTTATAAAACCAAGAGTGTGCATATAGACAACGTGTAAATTATACTTCGTAAGACGAAGTTATGATTTTTTGAAGTTTCAGCGCAACAGTGCCACATAAATCGAAATTTAAATAAGTTGATTGTTAGCAGGAACAATCTAAAGGCGAATTAAAGATCTTATGAATATGAACCCATCGATATAAAGAAAATCGAGAACGGAGTTCATAAGAAGAAGTTATGGATTAATCTAAAGCGATTTAAATATGAATTTTAGTTAGAGCGAGAGTTAGATGATGAAACCTTAATGAAATTTGTAGATCTCATTGAGTGGATTCTGGGGATATAAAGAACATCGAAAACGGAGCTCGTATGCGAAATTTATTGTCGTCCGAAGGTCTGCAAGAAATGCACTAGGCTGATAATGTGACAACGCCTGGTGATGTTGACATTGAGATTGTTGAGGAATCTAAACTATCATTACTCATAAGGAATATCATACTATTACTTAGTAATAATCATACCTAGGTCACGTCAAGGGAAAAGTCAAAGTTTTAAGGCGAAACATTGCTCAAATTTTGATGCATCCACTTTTAACATGTGAGTGCATAGTTACTTTCAGCTTACACATAGATATGAAGTATCTACTAAATGCTATATGTACTTACTATCCGTGTACTTGATATTTGTGCTATAGTATGATATGATTTTATTTATATAAATTACTATATCATATTTATTTGGGTCATGAAGGGTTTTAGGAAAGATAAAATAACGGGGTGGGTAGTAAAGTGTTTTTGGGAAAAATAAAATAATGGTGAGAGGTCACACATTGTATTATCGGGATTAGTCATCTAACAAAGTATATGTGACGACCACTAACTATTTTAGGTAGTCCGGTGGAACACTAGCAGGTTCGCCATCTGTAGGTGTTTATGATCATACTTTTTAAGGAAAATGAAAGTTGTTCGTTTGGGTACTCTATCCCCCTCAGGGTTCCCTTGTTAACACATATTGCTACGTATTCTTCAAAGTAGTATTGTCTACTTATAAAGATCCTTTAGGGTAGGTCTCTTGAGATTAGCATTTGGGATTGGAGAGTAAGAATAACGGGTATGGGTAATCAGGATTATTTATTTATTATTAAAAATATATAACTACAATATTGTGGTTTGAAAACCTTATGTTCTCATCAGACTCCCAAGCCTAACCCACTCAGTTTCTTTGTATCATAGGTAGCGGTACAAATATACAATCAACTGAGAGATTCGAGGAGTTTAGGCAATTAGTACAAAAGTTAATGTAAGGTCTGTAATAATTTCGTTTTATGTTTATGTTTTATATCAATTATGTCATCCCAAGTTTAAAAAAACATAGAAAAACATTTCATTCTTAAAGACTTTTATGGGACAAATTCCACATTTATAAAGATCGGTCTGATTTAAAATAAGCATAAATAAAAAGGTCTTTTCGGACCGTGAAAATTTGAGGATGTCATAAAAGTTCATTGCCATTTCCTTTATACCTAACAAAGTACATTGCCATTGTAACACCGCTAAATTTCATAAAAAATAAACCCATTTTAATTTATTTGACTTTGTAAAAACATTTTATAATAGCAGAAATTGGTCCCAAATTAAATATTTTTCAAAAGACGAGAACACATGTCATGGGTGTTACAACTTGTACACATAACTATATGAAACTTTCACAAGTTATTTACATACATTTACAAATCAACATATATACTATGACTCTTTTTATTGTTAAGTCCTCAGAACACATCTTCTAGTTCAAAAGATCATTTCTATTAGTCTATACCACTACTAATTCCTTTTAGTACCTGGATACATGTAACACTTGAATTTGGTAATTTTCATATTTAATATCTATCCTAAAAAGTTTGCAAAATTGGTCCTTAAGCTAGTACATGGGGCATACTGAGTGGTACGCTTATTGTACGAGCCTATTATGGTCACAAAGATCATCCACGTACGTTGGTCGTACGTGGAGTATGTGAGAAATTATGAAACCCTAACTTTAAGGCTTGCACCCTATATAAAGCATATGATATCCTCATTTGGTCATGTTTACCCAACCTCTATATCTTAAAAACCCTAATTTCATCCCTTAGCCCTTATGTGGTGCTTTTAAGATCTTGTAAAGATCTTTGGTGTGTTTTGTACATCTTGAAGTGGTAGAAGGAGAAGATTAAAGACTCATCCTTTGGAGAAGAGCTTAGAGATCTTGATTTAGCTTCTCCAATTTGTGACTTTTAAGTGCGGGGAATTTTGGGCAAGCAACCAAAGATTTATCTATGAGAATCAACAGTTGGAGGTGAGTCATGCTCACTTTGTTTAGTGGGTCAACGGCACCAATGCCGACCCCTATTTTTTATGTTAGGGTGCTAGATGTATGCGTGACTCTTGCATGTGTATATGTTCGTATGATTAGTTGGTGGGGACCAATGGATAATCTGCATGTTATTACTTGTTATACTTGTATGTTTGTATGTTGGGCGGGTCCTGTTATGGGAGTTAGGGTGACGCCCTTTATACTCAGTGGGTGGGACCCATTATACAAGTTAGGGTGAGGCCCGTTATACCCAGTGGGCGGGTCCCATTATGTGAGTTAGGTCAGGGCCTGTTACACTCATCGGGCGAGGCCCATTATATGTATGATATGTGTGGTATGTGGTATTTGGGGTAAAATCACTAAGCCTCGTGTTAACGGTTTTCAATTGATGTTTCAGGTACTTTTGGTGCAAAAGGGAAGAGCTCGGGGTGATTGTTGTGTACACATAGTATAGTTCCACATTTTCATGATAACTTTGATAATTTATGATGTTTTGATACATTTGATTCATTTGAGATTTATGATGATGTTTTGGGATATTGCTTTTATTAATTGAAAAATGGAATTTTTGGATCTTATTTTTGGGACGTTACAAGTTGGTATCAGAGTCGTAGTTTGAGGGATTCGAACATACTCTCGAGTGTGTTTGAACTCAAACTGAGGATTTGGTAAAGTTTTTCAAAAAGAAACATTTTTAAAGAAAAGGTTTTTATAATACAAGAAATGGTGTGGTGCATGCAATCGACTGAGTTCAAATAAGTTTTTCCAAAATACCCATACATATATGTTATTTGATATGATTTGATTTGTGAATCTGTGAATTGCATGCTAGTTAGGGCTAAGGATCTACTCAGTATTTGCATAATACAATGCTAAGAGAGATGCCTTTGTATGCATATTGTATGGGTTTGTAGACTTGCATGCTAGTACTGATCAGTCAGTTATAGGATGGCCTGATTAGGTTATGCTTGGTTTTGATTACTTGATACTCGAATGCTGCTTGCTTTGTGCTTTATAGCAGTTCTCAATAGTTTCAGCTAACTAGTAAGCGAATATGTTAATTTACATATTACTGAGACTAGATAATTTTAGAAGGTTAGGTTTTAACTCTATTACGTAGCTCTTGTGTGTGTCCAACCATTTTAGTGTAAGACCTCTCATTCGAAGAATTATCTGGTTTTGGCGATATGTAATTGAATTTGAGAGCTAGTTAGAGGTAGTTAGCGAGAGTTCATTATGCAACTAATGATAGAGAGTAGTGTAGAGTTTTCCATAGGAAAACATAGGAGTAGATTTAGTGTTGGGAGCCTTATCTTGATGAGGGTTGATTGTATGGATATAAAGTTACTTGGAGGATTCAAGGCAATCCTTGAGGAAAGTACGGATAAATGTGGAAGGTAGTATGGACCCGTACTACTGTAAGCAGAGGATTCGTACTCGAGTCAAGAAATTTTAATGAAACCAGGAAGCTTGTAGATTTTGTGATCCATCGATATATTTTGATGCGTATTCTGATGGTTTATATGGTCTACTTTTAGTATGGTGACTATGCGAGATAGACCGTTTGGTAGTTCTAGTGCTAGGGAGGG